GTAGACTAGACTATACTACCCTATACCGCGACACAATACATACAACATAACATGCTAGACAACAGTGTAACACAATGTAACGCAATGTATTCTTATATTCTAACAGATTATATAATGCACTAACAAAGAAAGGGTTTAAGGTCCACAGGCATGGTCGAGCATGCTCCCTCAGCTTCTGAGCATTGGATCCCGAAGTCGTGAACCCTAAACTAGGGTTTAGGGTTTAGGGTCTAGGGACCCTAAACCGTAATGACACCTCGCATCGTAACTCCTGAACCCGACACTTCACTCAGACACGTGCTGCTGACGCTTGCCAGCTCTGTTTCCGAGGACCAGCGATCATCCTATATCCCTATAAAGGCTCTAAGAACTCATACTTCACGGCTTTTGGGCCCAAAGACCATACTCTAAGGCTTGTGGGCTATTTTGAGCCTTAGGGTATAAGCCTGAGTAAGTAGTAACATGAATCCCGAATGCCACCCTTACCATTCAGGTTTCAATACGTACGTCCCAATCGTAACGGGTCCAAGTCGAAGTACCCAAGCAGTACAGAAGCGTATTTTTCTCATCGAGGCATTTCACGGGATTTCGAGGGTTTGAAAGGCTTAGCGGCTTTGGAGGGTGGATCGGAGGGGAGCGTCCATGTAGTTCATTGGTCGGTTTTTCGGTACCATCAACCAGCCCAGACTACAGCATGTGGCACTTGAAAGCCCTAGTATCCGGGTAATAGGATGCACTCCCCCTAAACCCTAAACCCTGAAGCTATATGGCTTTTGTGCAAGAGTTTAAGTCGTAGTCGTTGCTGCTTTTGGGGATCTGGCTGTGTTGAGCTGGATCTCCAACATCAGTTGTGCTTACCTTCTCAGCAAGTATTCTCAGAGGCTGTCGTCATAAAACCAAGACCTGAAAGTTGAGCATCAAATTCCCAAGACCTGCATGAACCCTACACTTAAACTGTATCTTGCGGGCCACATCCAAACATGCAGCCCTACTTCGTGAAATCTATATCCCTAACCATTGTCCCATGGAGCTTGAGTCCGAAATCCTGAACTCCAAAGCCTTCTTCTGCTTTCGGGTGTACACTAGAAGCCTGACTGATCAGTATCAGTAGTAGTAGTAGTCGTTGTCGTCGTCGTAGTCGTAGTCGTAGTCGTAGTCGTAGTAGTAAGTAGTGGTCGTCACTTAGGTTTTGGAATTTCGCTTACAGGTACGATATAGAAGCCACCAGCACAGGGTTTAGGAGATTGAGTCAAAGTTCAGAGTTAGGAGTTTGAGTCTTCGAGCCGACATTGGAAGGGCTTTGCTGTTACAAAATTGGTGCGCGGGAGGTCGTAGGATTCCCGGCTCCTCAACTTTGTGGGGGCTTTTGAGCATTGATTGGCAATGGCTTCAATCGCTGTTAGAAAGTGTTGGCCAGATGCACACCAAGTGTAGTCAAAGTGCGACGAAGAGATGGGGGGTCCACCTTTAGTTCCGGTGCTTGGTCTTGTTTGAAGGATCGTGGGCATCGAGCTAAGTATCTCGTAAGGGTTTAGGGTAAGGGGCACTGCTGTAAAGGGACACCTACTGTGCTATCTACAGTAGACCGAGATGCTTGGCAACAAATCCTAAACCCTGAACCTTGACCAGGAAACCACACCCTCTTCATAGTAAACCCCAAAAAGTTGAAAACCGGATTAAGGACAATTAGTGCTTTGAGTCCCTATGCATTTACTCTTACGGATTGAGGCTATTGCATTTCCAACTTTTAAGTACTGGAAGTGTAAGGCTTCTACATCTACAGTGGATTTTATGGGTTTGGCGCAGCAGGAAAGGGAGGCTTCGGGCTCCGTAGACAAACCGCAACTCCCATCTAAATCGCAAGCTGTGAACCCCAAAGTGCCCTAAGTACCGTTATTAGCGGGTATCTTCCCAAACCATGAAAATGATAATAATGAGAATCAGGATACTGATGATAATACTGATAACCATGAGAATAATGATAACAATGATGAT